CCCTCACCCAACTTTACAATGGGCTCCTATCACGCTGAAGACAAAACCCAGCTGTTTCTGGGGCCCACGCCCTGGGGGATCTGGCTGTGCCTACCCCTCTAATCTCATCTCCTTGGGTGCTTCCTTTTGTGTTCATTCTGCTCCAGGCAAAACAGTTTTGGCCTTTGATTTTTCTGGAAGGCTTTGTACTCTCTTTTCCATGGTGGTGGTGGTAAGGTCTTATCTCCTGTTCTCTTTGCCCTGCATGCTCATGCCCAGGTCTCTGACCCAGACCTCCCACCACCCTTCCTGACCACACTCTCCAAAATCACACTCCCGTTGACTTGGCCTGGAATGACTACCTCTTCACTTGCTCGGTTCTCATCTGCCCCACCATGGCGTAGATCCCCAGATGGCAGACTTGTTCCTTACGACCTGCTCTGTGCCTAGAAGCTGTTGTCTCCACTTCACACCATAAACATGGACTGAAGTATGGGAGGGAGGAAGGGAAAGAAGAGGGGAAGGAGTGGGAGGAAGGTGGAAAGAAGCAATAAATGATTTGAAATTCCACAGGGGAACTCCGTTTAGAGCCAAAGACAAAATCTGAGGGTCTCAGATGCCTCTGATGAGAATCTCTGGCTTCTGTTTCCCCTTCATCACCACGAGGGACTCTTGTTTGTAAGGCACTTGAAGTTCTCTATATGTAAGGCTTAAATGCAATGCCTTGCTTTGCTCTATTCCTCTATTTGCTGCAATGCAAATAAATTTCAGAATATTGGATGGAGTGAGGAAATAAATTACTAGGATAAATAGAGGAAGAGAAGGGACAAGTGCACGGAAGTGACCTGAATATTAAAGACTGGAATTTTAGCCCACAAGATCAACGACAGAGGCAACTGGAGAGAAGCAAACGAGTGGATTTAAAGAACGATTAGTCTGAAAGTGTCTGGTGCTTTTTAACCACGATGCTGTGAATTTTAAATGGAATAAATTCCATATAGGCTTTATAAGGGCTGAGCCCTGCTCCAAAGCAGACTCAGAAAAAAAAAAAAAAATGTCTGCTTTGGTTTGCAAGGGTCTATTTCGTTCTTATTTGACTGATCTTATTAAATACACAATAATCTTAATATGTGCACATGTTTTTTTAAAGCAGAAATTGTTCCCCTGATAATGAAGTGGGAAGACCCAGTTGGGAAGGGTATTGAAAAGATCGCTCACTTTCCTGATGACTAATAATATCAAAGTAAATGTCCATGCGCAGCTGCAAAGCAGAAAATGAATATTTTAGCCTTCTACCTGCTGAAAAGCTCACCAAATCAGTCTAACTGCATCCAGAAAAGATCGCAGCTTCTTTTGAGGAGCTAAATGATTTGAATATAAATAAGCAACTCTTTCCGCCTGTCAGTTACCTCAAGAATATTTAGTGCTGTCTCCTTTAATGAGTGCTCATTACAGATGAGTGCGAGTGAACGAATTTAATCAGGGTAATACGGGGTAATAATCATGTGAATTTCTCCACATCGGGTCTTGTTCCATCTGTTCCAAGCCATTTGTCCATGTAAAACTGTCAACGCTCCGAGCCACTGACTGACAGGTGAAGCCAGACGTTTGTGATTTTCATCTCAGAAGCAGCCGCTCCCGGATGAGTCCTTCTCAATAAAACAAACTGCCTGAGAGACCCCAAAGGGCTCTATCCTTAGCGTCATTTTTGCTTTGTTAGGTTTATTCTGTTGATCATTGAGACACTGAGCTTACTCTTGCTTAGAGCATGGCTCATGTCCTCGACAACTTGGATTGGTGGATGGGATCCGAAGGGGAAGGAAGAACTCGTTCTTGTAGATGCCACCCCAGGACTGAGGGCGGCTCCCGGGGGTGGAACTGGACATTCACTTAGCAATCCCACAAATGTGGCACTCCAGTCCATAAACACTGTCTTAGTCAGGTTTCTGTCACTGTGACAAACAACTGTGAAAACCACTTAGAGGAGGAAGGATGGATTTTGGCTCATGGTTTCAGAGGTTTCAGTCCAGGGTCAGCCTCCTCCATGGCTCTGGGCCTGAGGCAGGGCAGACCATCAGGGTGGAAGGGAGGGTAGAGGAAAGAGGCTCAGCTCCCGGCAGCCAGATGCAGAGGGCAGGGCCAGAAGGCAAGATAAACCCTTCCAGGGCACACCCCCAGTGACCCTTCCTCCTCTAGATCCCACTTCCAGCACCCCCTCCACCTGCCCAAGGTGCATTGAGCCACAGTGGACTGATCTTTTGATGAATTTACTGTCTTCGTGATGCAAGCATTTCCCCCAAGCCCCACCTCTGTACATTGCTGCCTGGGGGACAAGCCACCAATATGGACACTGGGGTACATTCCAGATCCAAACCATAGCAGACACCTCTTATTCCACCAGCCTTTCGTGTAAGAAGTGCAATTTGAGGCTGGTTGGTGACACCTGTCCAGGAGTGTCATGCCCTCAGCAGCCTCTCTGTGTGCCACCAGAAGTGACAGATGAAGGAAACTACTTCATGAATGAAATGTAGCTGAAGCCTCATCCATTTTTACTTTTGGCTCGGCGAGATCCCCGCATCAGAAGACCTATTCCACACGAAATAAAGCTCCCTCTGAAGAAGTGCATCTGCTCCCCAAGCTGGTTGTAACAAAAGGTACAATGGGCTATTTGAGAATCAAACGGCCCTCAAGACACTGGGATTCAAAAGATTTAAAAAAGCATGTTTTAAATAGAATTGGACATAGTTGTTGCTTTAAGTCTTTGGTGAACCATGCATTATCTTCTCTTTTTCTGTCAGTGCCGGAAGACTATATAGTTTTTTTAGACTCGGGAGGGAACTTGTGATTTTTTCTCCTTTCCCCCAGTAGTGATCCCTTCTGCAACACTGAAGAGCTCAGACCATGCTGCAGCACCCCAGCCCAGGCCAGCAGTGTCTTGGCGATATTGGAGCAAACAGGGACGGACACAATGCTGGTGTCACAACCCTGGATGTCTAGGAACAGAGAGGTGGAAAACAAAGACTCTTTTTCAAGTTGACTTTGTGCTACTTAATTTCTCTTCCTCTGGTACAAAATCTGGGTTTTTTTCTAGTTAACAAACCCAGCATATGCCAAACACCAAATGAATGAATTAATGCTAAGGATGCAAAGAAAGTTGGGATCAGCCCTCTCAGGACTGAATTTGACCACGCACAGAAACAGATAACCAGTTTTTGCACTTGAAGTAACAGTTGTAATGAGGGATTGATGGGAATCTGGGGAAGGACAGCTAACTGCCCTTCTGAGAGTTCTTGGCAGCCTAATTTCATAGGTAGATGCCCTTACATTTTTGCTTTTCCAGTCTGCAAAATGTAACATATTTAGGAAAGAGGTTCTGATACTTCCTTCTTTCCACTGGAGAGAGAAGACAAGGCTCATCTTGTTGCCAGGCTTGAACTTGGATCTCTCTTGATGGTGTCCACTGGGAGCTGCCTCCCTCAGCGCCTGCTTGATGTTCCTGTTGGCTCTCAACTTCTTGCTGAAGTTGTGACAAGAATAAGTAAAGTCCTGCACATTACAGACGTTGCAAATTCAAAGAATGATAAAATTGCCCAAAGATTTACTCTTGCCCCCTAGTTATTTCCATACGGCGGCTTCCCTTCCTGTCTTCTGTGGAATTGAAGGTTCATCAAGAATGTTTTTTTCTGACCCCTCCAAACAATACTTAAAACATATTCATAAGCACATGTGCCTCATCATGGGTCTGTGGGGTGTGTTCGGATCTAGTGCTAGGTTGGAAGAGCTAATTCCCCAGTGTTTATGAATTGACCCCTGCTGTGGTGGCGGATTGTCTGAAGAACCAGCTCAGTGCTATTTCCCACCCCACTGTGGTTCATGATACCTTGTCTCAGAATGCCGTCAAGACAGCTGCATTCCACCCACCTGGGCTGGTGCATTGCTTCTCCACCAGGAGTGACTGTGACTCAGGATATTTGGCAGTGTCTGGAAATATTTGGCTGCCACAGCTGAGGATCAGGGTGTATCTGTGGCATCCAGTGCGGAGAGGCTGGGGAGGAGGGAGACATCCTACGTGGCACAGAGAGCACCCCAACCAAGAAGCATCAGCGGGACTGAGGTGAGGCATCTGGTGTGGTGTGAAGTGAACAGTATGCATGTTAATAAATGCTAATTTAATTTTCCCATAGTCTGCCAGGCAGTTAGAGCCACAAATTGAATCATGTGCTATTTTGTCTTTATCTCTCCTCTAGAACTATCAGCTCAAGTCATACAATTCTCATCATTTTGGAAAAATAGCAGGGACAAGATTTCAACATTTGAATTATCCTACAAATGATGCTGGTGTGAGAGGTGTTTAGTGAGCCCCTTTATCACACCTCACCTTCCTTTAGGTTTTTGACCCAATGTCTGTACATATATATTAGCCTAATTATCTTACTTTTGTATTTTATGACATTTTGTGACTTATCATCTGCATTTTATCATATAAAAGATTAAATTTGGGGTTGTCCTTAATTGTTCAATCTTTGAAGATTGGAGTGTTGCTACTTAGGTTAGCCGTCTTATATTGCTGGTTGTAGGACTTCATTATAGCAGAAGGGATAACTTTTCAAAAATTGGTTTTTGAAGAGTGCCTCAATAATCTTGGGTAGAGCCACATCTGTAGCCACAATTAGTCCCTCATGATAGAGTGAGGACTGAGTACCTAGGGTTGGTTTCCTAGCAGATCTAAAGGTGTCTGATTCCACTATTTGCTTGTGATGACTTTGAAAGCTAAGTAGACATAGAAAATGCAAAAGCCATCACTAAGAAGCAAATCGTTGCCAGAGTATCTCTTTCTTATTTGACTGTCTCAGAACTAAATTGAGAAAGTGGAAATATAAACAAATGCACACCCCTTCCTACTCCATTGCCTTCCACAGGGGTCCTGATGGAGCTGAAAGAAAACTGGAAAGTGTGAATAGTTGGCACTGTCTGAAATCTATACATCCTTTTAAAAAATAACTGATTTTTCTCTTCTTAAAATGCTAGAGGCTCACTTCATCATATTTCTTCTCTGGGCAGTGATGCAGTCCCTCACTGGGGTCTTTGCAAATGGCATCATTTTGGTGGTGAACAGCATCGCCTTGGTGAGGCAGAGAAGACTGGCTTCCCTGGATCTGCTCCTCTCCTGCCTGGCGACGACTAGGATCTGTATGCAGGTGCTCATCTTTAGCATCCATCTGGTTGCTCTCTCCTTGGTGAAAGAGTCTGTGTTTATTGATAATTTTCTAATTCTCATGTTTGTAAATGAACTGGGGCTTTGGTTTGCCACGTGGCTTGGCGTTTTCTACTGTGTCAAGATCACCACCATTCCACACCCGATATTCTTCTGGCTAAAGATGAGGATATCCAAGTTGGTGCCCTGGCTGATCCTGGGGTCTCTGCTCCACGCATTGATCAGTTCTGGCCTCCAAAGCAAATACATGTCATTTTACAAAGGAGTCATTGAGAACTATTTCTCCAAAAATAGGACTAAAACTGAAGACACACCTTCTGAACCATTTTATATTTTCATTGCGGGACTCATACCACCATTACTTATCTTCCTCGTTGCAGTTCTGCTCTTGGTTTTCTCCCTGGGGAGACACACTCAGCAGATGAGAACCATGGGCACCAGGGACCCCTGCAGGAATCCCCACATCAACGCACTGCTCTCCATCCTGTCATTCCTAATCCTCTACTTCTCCCACTGTGCAGTGACTATTTTGTTCTGTGCTCAAATTGTGCAGTTTGGAAGCTTCCTTTTTCTGCTCTGTATGATGATTTCTGGTGCATACCCTGCTGGACACTCTATCATCTTAATTTTAGGAAATGCTAAACTGAAACAAAATGTAAAAATGTTCCTCCTCCGTGGTAAATGCTGCCAGTGAGGAATTGGGTCACTTCAAAACAGCCAGGATTCAGTGACTTATCAGCACCTGCTGTTCCTTGCCCAGCCAACAAAGCATCCTGTACATAAATATATAACATGTCATCTCAAGATTGTTCGCTTAACCTTATGGATGTTTATAGCTTTGCTACTTTTTCACAGAGTTAAATTGATTTCAAAAGCATGACACATGTCAAGAGATTACATCCATGTCAATATCCATCATCTTGCAAGATGTTACCATTGAGAAAACTGGGAAAATAATACAGGGATCTTCCTATAGCCTTTCTTACAAGTGCATGAAAATCTTCAGTTTTCTCAAAATAAAACATGTAATGAAAAAGGAAAGCACATGTTTGCATTTGTGACAGTAGAAGCCAGACAGTGTCACAGGGTCCTTCTATGTCCGATGCCTAGTCTTAGATGGTTTACCAGATGGGCTGACTGCTCATCCTCTGTCTACATGGAGGTCATTTCTCTCTGTTTGCTGGAGTCACAGACAATGGAGCCACTCTTCTTCCCTAAATCAGAAGGAAGCTGAGCACAGACAGACCTCAGTCCTTGTGAGCAAGCTCACCTCGTCCATTCTGCGGAGATGGAGATGCTGTGATGACCTGTCCCAGCAACTGATGAAAGGGAAGAAAATGGAGGAGGAAGAGGAGGAGGAGGAGGAGGAGGAGGAAAAGGCATCCTTGAGGTCTGCATGTTCATTTTTCATTTGCCCTAATTGGGTATCCTGCAGCTCATAGCTTGCAAAGATGTTTCATTTTGCATTTGTGTACTGGCTTTGGGACTCCGTGGACTGCCAGTGATCATTTGGTATCCTACCCCATTGCATGTCTTCCTCCACAACAAAGCAACAGCTGTCAGTAGGTGGGGCTGAGGGTGTCTCCATCTGCTTGAAGTCATAGATGCATTTTCTGTTTAGCTAATGATTTTGGAAACAAAGATATATATGTGCATTTCTAAAACAGATTCAGAATCATTTTGCTTTCAGACAAATGAATAATATAAAAATATATCCTTAAGTAACTTGTAGTTTAGGTGTGGATTTGCCTATCATCAGTAGTAAGAATTCAAAGACTGGTTCTCTAACCCTAGACATGCAACTCACAGAGGACTTGCTTCAAAGAGCCAGAGAGATGTGTTTCTTCTTGAATGTGGGCATTAGGTACTCTGCATCTACCCACAGGTCTTGGACATCCCTCCTTAAGGAGCAAAGTAACAGCCTCCCTCTTCCTACTTCTTCATTTCCCCACTTCCACCAGGGCAGGAAGGTTCATAGCTAATAGCGCTCTCAGGCAGACAGCTCTGGAAAGAGCAATCATGTCCTGGAGGTAAATATTGCTCCTATGTCAGGAGGGGACAACAAAAAGCCACTTTTATTTTTCTCACATTTCAAGTTCAGCAAATAAGTAACTGCTCCTTGAATCCATGATGTCTGTACCTGTGGGTGAGTGGGAGGAGGGTGGGAGCAGCTTCAAATGTTCAGGGGGAAATCCATGTTATGCAACTCTGAAGATTTTTTCCCTAGGTACCAAATTCTGATTCTATTTCATGTAGCTCCTGTTTTAATAGAGGTAGTTAATGGGATGACTATTAAGGTATGACTAAGTGTGTATTATTAATATTACCAAGAGTTGTAAAAAAAACTCAGTGCATAATAAAGCTTCGAAAAACTTTCCCAGCCTGCTTTCCTAGAAATGTACTTGTTCCTGAGATGCTGTCTCACTGTTGTGCTGCTGGGCTTGACCTGGACACTAACTGCTCCGTTCTAGAAGCCAAGTGGTCTGGGCCTGTCTCTCTGGAGCCTACTCATCTGCACTCCCCAGCCCTGCCAATGTCTTCCTCTCTAGCAGGGGGTTGACCTCTGTCATGGTACAGCCTCTTCCTTCACCCACGCTGTCCTTTACAGACGGGGCTTGCTGTGGCTTGAGTGTCCCCTCAGGCTTCCGTGTCGAAATTTAATCCCCTTTGTGGGAACTTCACTGGCTGTGGCGTGTAGAGGTGGGACTTTGGGATTAGGGTAGGACAAGGCCATTGAAGTGGAGGCCCTGTGATTGACTCCTGGTGGCTCTATCAGAAAGAGAGAACAGAGGAGACACAACCTCATGTTCCCCGTCTTTCCCCATGTGACCATCAGTGCTGCCTCTGGACTCTGCTGGCCCATCCATCACCAGAGTCAGCCCCTGACCTTGGACCAGAACCACGAGCCAAAATAAACCTCTTTTCTTGGTAACCTATCAAGTCAGTGACATAGTGTTAACGAAAACAGAAAATGGACTAAGACAGGGCTGGACATCACGGCTCCTGGGAGGCTTGGCCTCCAGATGTCACACATGGTCCGCCCTCCCCTCTGCAACCTGTGGCTCCCCAGGAAATCCAGTATCTGCAGCTCAGTCAATGGGGCTAAGGCTTCCAGGAGTCTGATCCAGAAAGCAGGGCCTTTCTGAAAAGGGACCCAGCAGGGATCGTGCATTCCACCTGAGACAGAGGTTCAATGAGCAGCCAAGAGTGGCATGCTCCCCGTTCTAACGCCGACTCCTTCAGTCCCCAATCCCAGCTGTTCTCCACAGTTTTCAGTGACTGAAGATGGTGACATCAGCTCAGAAGTCTAAATCTGTGTCATATAGGTATACATTGGTTTTCAAAAAATATGTGTTGTAATAATTTGAATATTATATTTTAAAAAATTAGATGTCTCACAAACCATAAATGCCTTTTAGATTCTCTCTCATTCAAATGTAGCAACTTCTTGAAGAGAGATGATCAATCTGGACTGGAAAGTGCTATGAGGACATTAGCATTTAATGATTACCCTTGAACTTCAGCTAATGACTTCTTGAGGCTAATGACCATCCGTCCTGGATACTTCAGGCAGCTCAGAGGTTGTAGCCCTTGCACACCTAATTACAGTCAGGGTCCTCAAAAGATGAGTGTTCCAATTTTAGGCTTGGATAACATGATTTTTGTAATTTTCGTCCATGTGGAACTACACCTCTTTGGGTGAGAAGAGAAACAAGTAATCAGAAATATACCAGCGATAAAGATGCCAGTCTAATCATGCAAATTGACTTTGGCAATCAAGGGCATGACAGATGTTATAGACAGATGGCACACCCATGTTGGAGAAAGATCCAAATGGCCAAAGCAGGGAGATCCACATGTTTTAAAGAGGGTCTTGCTAGGGAATGAGTTTGGAGTCAATTTATGTACCACATCAACTCGAACTTTAAATCGCTGATTTATTCCTTTTATATCATTATTCTTTGCCCCCTAATGATTGACTCTCATAGGAAACTTTATGCCAAGAGAAAGGGTGTGTACTAGGAAAATCTCATTGAGCTGAACACATTCAGTTATTGGGGAGAGTGGATGTATATCCAAGATCACTCTTGAGCATTTGTTTCACTGTATTCTTTTTATACAAAACAAACATCTGTTCTCTGTCCTTGATATTTTAGACTATCTGATACATCACCTAGTATCTTTGCAAGATTGAATGTCTGCTTTTAAGATGTGATGTAAACAATTGGATTCATATCTATGACATCTGGATCTACTTAATGTTTTTGGCTGGGGATCAGGAGTTGGTGATTTTATCCTATAATTTAAAACATATTCTAATCAATGAAGCAAGGGTTTCCTTTTATTTGTTTCTATTTTAAATATTTCTCTACCAGTCCATCAACAGAACATAAAAATAGAATCACCTACCTATTGAAAGCACTAAAGACATGTCTATTTTTAAAAATGATTGAAGGTTCACTTCCTTTACACTTCAACATTCCCCAGACAAATAGATACATTGTAATTATTTGTATTTTTGATGCAATTTTGGATACATGTTCTTAAGACAGTGCTGTAGCTTCCCTCAAATTCTCTTATTCCTATAGATTTGTTAAGTTTGACAACATAAACATAAGACTCACATGGGGTAGAATTTGAATTTTGGACAGGAAGGGAAAAGTCCTGTAGCCAGATTTAACCTTTTAAAGCTTTTGATGAATGTTCCCGGAATGATAAATTCCCAAATCCCTGGGGAAGCTTCAGACTCCCCAGATCTTGGGAGGTGGAAAAGGGGGTAGAAAACAAGTAAGTGGCTCGCAGTGGGCGGGGGGGTTCAGGTTGCTAAATATGTGAACTGTCCTTTGGCAGAAACCCACCCATTTGTACAACAGATGCTGCGCTTGGGATTGTGAACTTTAAGTCTTGCTTCACTTGAAACTTCCCTATTGGCTTTCAGAAACATTGACCATGGCCAACATTTGATCAAAAAACTGCGTTTTACAATAGGTGCCCTGCAGGATGCTCACCCCAGCTTTTCTGCTAAGATAACAAAATTCTTGCTGTGAAGACTTGCACCTTTGATGGTGAATATGATGTTGTTAGTGGCGCTGATTGATTTTGGGTCTGAAGGACAGGCTCTGCAGCATGAGAGGCGCCTTGAGCAGACCATCTTCCAGGAGGAAGCCAGGCAGACAGTGTGGTGCTGTGGTCAGGGTGGACGCCATCCACAGGCAAGGTGGACCAAGGCTCCTCAGCTCTCCTACCAGGAAGAACAGCACCTGCTTATGTTGGTCCTTAGACAGAGGTTGTTGACCAGCAAGCACTGTCAGGAGCTGAGCCTCAGTTTCTTCACATGTGAATGGGGAAGAATGACAATATTACATGCTGAACAAAGCTTCAGAGACATAATGTGAACACAAATGAATGTCACCTCCAGCAGCAGTGTGGAAGCAGAGAAGGACATGGGAAGGGTATGTTGAATAGCAGTGCCATCATTAAGAGGCTGAAATGGACTTGATGAACCTGGACCTCACACTTCCCATCTGTGAAATGGGGATAGGAGTCATTCCAGGCTTGACGAGGGGAGTTGATGGGCTGTGGAGCAAGTTTGAAGCACATTACCTGGCTACCACCCTTGCTGCATTGACTTTTGTTAACCCTGAGAAACTGCCAGACTGCAATGACCTTGGACCAATGACCGCTTCATACACT